GGGGCTAAGGTGGAGTCCAGGTTCCTGGCACCTCTGTTCTATGGCAGGAAGAGTCAGATGGCCCAGGCTCGCGCATTGGAAAGGCACGGGTGCCCTCCCATTGGCAGGAAGCTGATTTCTAGACAGGGATGCAGGCGGGAGAGCGGGGCCCTTAGGACAAGGAGGAGCACAGGCATGAGCACAGGTGCTCGGTCCTGGATCAGAGCCCCCATCGCAGACCAGCTCCGCCCCGGACGCGCTCAGGACTACGCCGCCTGAATCCAGCACCTACCCCTGTTCTGCCTGCTCCCAGCAGCTGAATTCTGGGGAAACTCCGCTCCCGTCACCCCCAGTCAGACCTGCCAAGCCTCTTCTCCATCCACAGAAGGCAGGCCACCCTGATCACGCTTGCAGCCCCGAGAGACAATTCTTCCAGCTTCTATCAGTGGTTCTTAACCTTCCCAATGCCGCGACCCTTTAATACAGTTCCTCATGTTGTGGGGACCCCCAACCACAAAATTATTTTCATTGCTACTTCGTAACTGTAATTTTGCTACTGTTATGAATCGCAATGTAAAATATCTGATATGCAGGATGTATTTTCACTGTGCGCGACCCCCAGGTTGAGAACCCCTGGATCCTCTGCCCCAGGGACCGGAGTCCCATCCGCCCTTGCCCCGCAGCGGGAGCCGCTTGTCCAGCCCTCGGGGTGCTGCAGGGAGTGTGACCCCGGAAAAGGCTGCCGCAGGTCTGCGTCCACACTTGTCCCAAAGCCCGTTGCCTGGATCGGGAGCCGGAGCGTGGGCTCCGCAAACAAACTCGACGCCAGTGATGGCGAACCTATGACACGCGTGTCAGAGGTGACATGCGAACTCATTCTTTTGGTTGATTTTTCTTTGTTAAATGGCATTTAAATATATAAAATAAATATCACAAATGTAAGTCTTTGTTTTACTATGGTTGCAAATATCAAAAAATTTCTATATGTGACACGACACCAGAGTTAAGTTAGGGTTTTTCGAAATGCTGACACGCCGAGCTCAAAAGGTTCGCCATCACTGCTCTAGGACCTGCCGAGGGCTCGAGGGCCAAACCAGGCGCGCAGCCCGCGCACAGGAAGTCCTGCCGCCGCCCGCACTGCAGGTGGGTTCTGACGGCAGAAGTGGGACATCAGATAATGCAGTGAGTGCCCGGAGGTGCGGACGTCCGTGGGACAGACAGGCTGCCTCATCGCAGATGCGCTCAGCTCCCAGGTCTTACTCACATGCATCTTTGAGGGTCTGGGAAACCTCCCCAAGGGAGCAGGGCCCCGCCCCAGGCCTCCCTCCCACACACCTGGTGAGCTTGGAGTGTCCTGTATGTGCACCAGCGCCCCCCCCCCCCCGCCCCCCCCCACTATGACTGAAGGGCGAGGCCTCTGCTCTCCATCCCCCTGTGCCCTGAGGCTGCTGGAGACAAGGCACCCTGCCAAATTCCAGGCACGAGGAAAAGATGGCACTCGCGCCGCATTAGCGCATTCTCTCCTTCCCCGGCCATCTGCACACCAGCCAGTCCACCTTTCTCATCCACCTGTCCGCCCCTGCGTAGTGTTCAAATCTGCGATGGGAACCATTCTCCTTTTCCGCCGTCTTATTCATTCCCTTCAACCTCTCCTTTAAAAAGCAATTGCAACGGACCTCCTCCAGTGATCCCGAAAACATTCTTCTCTGGGTTCTCCCTGTAGCTCTCTCTCCCCCTCGCCACTGCCTCCTTTCCAAGGCCTCATCCATCTGCTCTTACAGGACGCACAATGGGGGGCCCAACCCCGGGGTGTCAGGGCCTCTGAGACAGTCCACGCGGGAACAAGCTCACCAGCCGCTGAGTGTACGGGCAGGGGAAGAATGGAGACGGGCCCGAAATCGCGGCTGCGTCCAGGGGAGGGAGCAACCAGGTCTGCTCAGGCCTGCAAGGCGATTCCCAGCTTTCCCGAAGCGGATCTGGTGGCCGGTGGGAGGCACAGAGAAGAGCAGACCAAGGACTTTAAACCAGCCTGCTGCATGGAAGGACCTCTACATGGTATAATTAATGAATTAAAAAAAAAAAAACACTCTGGTTTTGGAGCCTTTCCTCCTAATCTCCACTGTCTCATTCAATACCCACAACCCCCTCCGGAGGCCGGTGCTAAGAGGATCCCCCATTTTACAGATGAGGAAACCGAGGCTTGGCGAGGCTGGGTGATTTGCCCAAGGGGAGGCCAGGAGCAAAACCAGGAAGGACTGGCTCTGCCTGAAGCCTCCGTGTTCATTTCCAGCCTTCACCGCAGGCAGCCTCAGACCCGGCGTGGCTGGAGCAGGCGCTTCAAGGAGGTGGGGAGGGAGGAATCCGTCATCCGGGTGCCCCCAAAGGCGTTTCGACCTGGTTCCTAACCCAGCGCCCCTTCCCATCCTCTCCCAGGTATGGCCCCCACATGTCTCAGCCGGACGCCAGAGCATCCTCCTCCACCAGGAGGAAAGGAGTGGGGCGCCACTTTGGAAATGGGGGCTCCTTCCGTGACTAGGGGCTGAAGGAGAGAGAGCTCCCGAGGCACACGGCACAGGCGATCACAGAGCCATGCCCCACGTGTCAGGATGAGGTGACCGAAGCCGACGGCCCGAGCCCTGCAGAGCTGCCCAGGGAGCCAGGCCGAGAAGTCAAGAGCCACAACCCAAGCTGAGTTGCTAGACATCACCAATTCCAAAAGCCACTTCCAGCCCGTCCCATAGGGCTCAAGAGGAGACATTCCCTTACCTCCCTCCTCCAAGCTCAAGGCGTTACCGCTGGAGTCCAGGGAAGGCCAGCGCTCGGGTCCCTCCGGAGTGTTGAATGGACACGTGTGTTTTTAGGCGAAAGGCACCTAAATCCCAGGATCCTGCAAATAGATCCGAAAAGGACAGAGAATGATTAGCACCAATGTCCACAAGAGACATCTCATTCACTTAAACAATCAGAAGTACTCGCCCTGGCCGGGTTGGCTCAGTGGATAGAGTGTCGGCCTGTGGACTGAAGGGTCCCGGGTTCGATTCTGGTCAAGGGTACGTACCTCGGTTGCACTCAGGAGGCAACCAATCGATGTATCTCTCTCACATCGATGTTTCTCTATCTCTCTGACTCTCCCCTTCCCTTCTATTCCAAAAATCAATGGAAAAATATCCCCTGGTGAGGATTAACCCCTCCCCCCGCAAAAAAAAATAAGAAAAAATAAGGAGTGCCTATATACTATGAGCTAAATGAGAAGCAGTGGGAGAGCTGACATTTATTGAGCAACTGTGATGTGTCAAGTACCCTGATGTACGGTGAAATACACGAAGCCATTCAGTCCCATGAGATGAGTTTTTCATAGCTCCGTATTTCAGACATCACATGCGAGGCGAGGCCAGCACTGACGGCCGGGTCTCCTGACTCCCAAGCCTCCCCCATCCACCCTGTGCAAGGGCCCTTCCCCGCTAAAGCTTGAGTTCATCCGATTCCAGGAATTCTGGCCCGAATTGTGCCAGAGGCCGGGGGGGGGGGGGGGGGGGGGAATAGAAACACGGAATCACTTCATTCTGAGGACGGCCTGTCCCAGATGCCCAAGCCATTCCCCAGGAGGCGGGGCTTATGGAAACCGGGGAAGCTGTCTCAGATTAACTTGGTTGTAACTTTTATCTGGGCCCCACACTGCGATCTGCTAGCATGCAATCCGTGCACATCATGAATTACTCAGGGAACAAACAACTGTGTAGCGTCCCCAGGGCCTCTTATCCTAGCTGATCATCGAGGCAGCTGCAGGAGGTGGCCAAAAGGGGCGAGACGGCCACCCCTAATCTTATCAGCACTGCGAGGACCCCCTAAGACTCCCCGGAGCAGGAGCAGGCGCTCTGCGGGTGAGCTCTGACACTGACTTCTCTTCTTCAAGGGACGGTGTGGCACCCCCAGGAAACCACATGGTTACATCACCATGGAGCGATCCTTCCAGACCTCCCCCCCACCCCCAGCATCCCCAACTCCACAGCATCTTGGAAGCCAAATCACCGAGCAGATGGGACTCCCGTGAGCACAGACTCGGAATAAAGAAGACTGACAAGTACTGAAGGGGAATTTGCCCTCCATTCTGGAAACAGCCAGAGAAGTGCCCTTGCCCCAAGGGCAGAGGCCAGGTGGCCCGAATTCCCCACCATCAATCCCCTCTCTCCTCCAGGAAAACTGTGCCACCATTTGCTTCTGTGAGGCCCTCTGGTTGTCACCTCCTCCCGTGGATGTGTCTGTGTGATGGGGACCGACAACAGCCCCTCCCGTCAAGGGCTGGTTGGATCCATCGCTGCTCAGAATGTCGGTTCCGAGTAGGAGACGGGGAGCCCCCTCTCTCGGAGAAGTCCCCTCGGCTGACAGCGCGCTCAGAAAGACGCCTCCTCGCACACCCACGCTCCCCCGCGGGCAGCCTCCCTCGCTCCCAGGCCTTATGCCCCGAAAGAAGAGGCCGTTTTCCTTATGGTCAAATGCATTGGCTTCATTACCCCAAAGGGCAGCCGCCGGCTTCCCGCTGACTGTGGGCTCGTGGTCAGGCTGCCCGGGTTGGCATCCCAGTTCTACTGCCAACGTCCTGTTAGGAGCCTGAGCAAGCGACTCTCTGAGCCTCAGTTCCTCATCTTAAAGGTCTGTTCTCAAAGCAAGAACCTTTGCACAGCTGAGCACGGGGCCTGGCACGTGACAAACGCTTAGGAACGCCAGTGATCGGCATTCCACTGAGGCAAGTGCTGGGGCCTTAACTCTTCGTCTCCTCCCCATAAGGAGGGACAAGGTCTCCCCTCTTCCTGTCTCCCCACGATGACTGGGTCAGCATCGTGGCTCAGGACACAGTGCTCGGGGAGCAGGAGAAGCCAATGAGAATGGAGCTAAAGTCTGGGGTTTGTGTGCACCGGCCTCGGCTCCAGGCCTGACGGCCCTCCTCTGTTTACTCATCTGCAAGATGGAGCAGAAGGTAACCCTTGCCAGCTCCCAGGCGTGCCACACGAGACTGTGCAGGCGGGCTACGCTCCAGAAACTGGGAGGGGCGAGAGACACGCAGCAAATCCTGACAGCAGTGCCACGGACAAGCCCCCCCGGACGGGACACTTTGCTGAGGAATATCCTCCCGGGACCTCACTGAGCACCCACGGTGACCCCAGGAGGTCAGCTCAGAGTCCAACCCTCGTGCCCATTTCACAGACGTAGAAAGTAAAGCTCAGGGAGGCCGAGGAGGCTGCCTGACACCCCCCCATGTGTGGCTGAATCACTGGTTTGCAAGCTCAGCCCCACCTCCTCGTAAGGGGGGCAGCAACAACCCAGAAAGTCAGCTCTTGCCAGAAAAGAAAAAAAAACAAAAAACCTCCTTCCAAGGCGGCCAAGTTGATTAATGTTTTTAATTAATGTTTTAAACCACGGAGCAATGTTCCATGGTAATTAGGGAACTAAAATTTCTAAGTTTCTCCCGGGAGTGGGCCCAGCCAGAGGCTCGCTGCCAGAGCTTGGGGAGGCCGTCCTGACCGGCCAGGGTGGTCAGAGTGGGAAGGTCGCCGCCCCACGTCAATGCCCCGAGCCTGGCAGGCTGTCGGGTAGCTTCCCACCCGTAGAGACAAGCCAGGGAAGAAGGAGACTGGCCCAGCGCAGGGGCAGGACTAACCGGGCCCCTCTTCCTCGGGATCCAGCCAGCCCAGTGGAAGAGGGAGCAGAGGGGGCGACACGCAGCCTGTCCAGCCCTGAGCCTGAAGGCCCGGAGGCTGCTGCTCCCAGGCTCCCCGGCCTGCCACACCGTCCCGGGACAGGGAGACCCCTGCTCTGCGGCTGACAGACAAACCCTGCCCTTGCCCCTGAACCAGGGGACCACGGGCTTTCTCGGGATGCTGACAGGTAGACCTAGCTAGACCCCCAAGATCCTAGGACGTGAGAGGAGGGTGGGGGCCCAGACACAGGCCCCTTGGCCATTGTGTTCAGGGATCTTCCTCGCTCTGCCAGTGTCTTCCTTGTTCTATTCCTCCCCACGACCCAAAAGGCAGGGTGGTAATCGCTTCTTTTCCCCAAGGAGAAGGTGAGGCGCCGATGCGACACACAGGACTGAGCCGTTAACCACCAGCACTGCTGTGAGCGAGGCTGCCTCATCCTCGGGGCGGTGGCCTTGAATGGCACCCAAATGCCACCTCGGCAGTGGGGCCAGTGGCCACTGTGAACAGCCAAGACCAGCCGCCCCACAGGCTGGGGCCCTGGCTGCTCGGCAGGACACGCTGAGGCAGCCGTCAGATGAATTACGTAGCCGTAACTCAGGCTACGAAAGTGCCCATCCTCTCCCCAGGATTCTTGACCTGGAGATCATTCAAACATCCTCTGCTTGCTGCAAACAGACCACGGAGGTGGACGAAGGCACCTCAGGAGCAGGGGGCAGGCTGGGCCCCCTCTTTGCCTAAGGAAGACCCTGGCAGCAGCCCCAGCCTTGGGGTGCTTGATCCCCCAGAGAAGCCCTGGGAAAGGACAATCACGGGGCGTCAGCAGAGCCTGTCTCACGTGCCTTCTGACTCTGAGATCCAACAGGCCTAAGTGCATGGGAAACAGGTGCCGACTCGGGACACAGGCTGCCAGGGTCAGAGCTCAACCCGTCAGCAGCTGTGCACCCTGGGCAGGCTACTTGACCTCTCTGATCCTCATCTGTAAATCAGGGCCACTCAGAGCAGCTGCCTCCCAGGGATGGGGAAAGGACGCACTGCTGTGCATGCAGGATGCTTAGCCCAATGCCTGGCTCACCGCAAGTGCTTGATTAATACCTGTTCTTCTTGGGGTCTCACTGCTGCCATTACTCCCACTGAGGGGCAGGCAGACTAGATGATCCTGGACTTGAATCCCAGCGCGGCCATTTCCTGGGAATGCGGCCAGAGACTGACTGCTTGACCTCCTTACGCCTCAGTTTGCTCGTGGACAAGACGTGGGAGTGACCACCAGCCACACTGGACCACCCAGGATTGCAGGACACGTAGTAAAACAAGTGGAACAGCATGCGCCTTCCAGAGGGAGAACCCAACCCAAACCGAGGGACGTTCCCCAGAGCAACTGGCCCGTACGCCTCAGAAATGTCAAGGTTAGGAGCAGCCCCGGAACCGCTCCGGGGTAAGGAGACGTGGCCACTGAGCGCAGAGGCTCTGGCACCAGGAAAACCCCAGAGGCCATTATTGGGACAACTGGTGACATGGTGTGTGGCCCGTGGGTTAGATAATACAGTTGAAGCAACACTCAGTTGCCTGAGTTGGAGAAGATTTAGGGATGAAAGGGCATGTCCACAACTTACTCTCAAATGGTTCAGAAAAAACGGTGTGTGCATGTGTGTGTGTGTGCTTCTATATGTGTGTTTTGTGTGTGTGTGCTTGTATACGTGTGTTTTGTGTGTGTGTGTGCTTGTATATGTGTGTTTTGTGTGTGTGTGCTTGTATATGTGTGTTTTGTGTGTGTGTGCTTGTATATGTGTGTTTTGTGTGTGTGCTTGTATATGTGTGTTTTGTGTGTGTGTGTGCTTGTATATGTGTGTTTTGTGTGTGTTTGTGCTTGTATATGTGTGTTTTGTGTGTGTGTGTGCTTGTATATGTGTGTTGTGTGTGTGTGCTTGTATATGTGTGGTGTGTGTGTGTGTGTGTGTGTGAAGGGGGTTGGGTGAAGAGCGGGTTAACAGTGGTGAGTCCGGGTGCACAGCAGCTCTGCGTACCATCCCTGCCATTGCTTCTGCCTGTTTGAATGACCCGGAGCTGAGGAGCAGGGTGGCAGTGACCGACCTAAAGGCCCGAGTCCCCACCATCCACGTCAGCCCCAAACACAAGCCTTTCTCACCAAAGCCATGTCACCTTGTGCAGAAATGCGACGATTTACTGGGTGGAA